AAATTTTATGAAATGTTTGTTGATGATCAAAGATCCTATTCAAGCAATAAAATTATCCTTGCAGGAAGATCCAGACAGACTGAGCAAGTGGAACAACAGACAGCTGATGAAACTGAATATGGATAAAGAGCATAAAAAAAAAAAAGGGGGGGAGGGAGAATGCAAGCACAGGCTACATGAATAATACCATTATAAACTATCAGAAGCATCAGAAAGAAAGGCTAATATGACTTAAAACTGACAGAAATGTCGCTAGAAAATATTAATGAAATCCTAGGGAACTCGCTGAACACTGCCCAATATTAAAAACGTCTTTAGATATGTGGAGATGCTACAAGAAAAAAATATTCACAATACATGCTAGGCCAAAATGGAAATGTGCAGCAGTGGACAAGCTAATTCATAGAAAAAAAGTTGTGAATGGCTAAAGAAGTAGACATTGCCCTTACTGACTGACAGGAGAGAGAATAACCACACAAGATAAAAGGATACTAAGAATAAATAACTCCCTAGCACCAAAAGGATACCAGAAAGTTGTCTTAACAGAATCAATAGAACAATTTAATGGGACGAGTTACAAGGGAGGAAGCTAGCGTCACAAGTAACAAATACTAAAAATGATGCTCGATTAAATACCAAAGAAAAACTTTATAATTTAGCTCTGATCCTGCAGCTACACACAAGCTTCACCTGCTAATGGTTCCAAGAATCACTGTTCTGTGGCCCAATTTAAAATCAGTCTTTCTCAATTAGAAAGGAACTTCGGGGGGGGGGGGGGGGGGGGGGAATAGTGACAAGAAACGTGCAGAAAAATGAAGTTAAATGTATGATAATACAAGTTAGTAAGGTATACCTTCAAATTACACATTTACAAGGAAAAAAAAAAGTAATCCTGATAGAAGATAAAGTATTTATCAGACTTCTATTATATATTGTATGACAGGACAGTAGTACCTCCTGGATGGGTTACTGTTTACAAACCTACTAATATTTTTTTAGCACAGAAGTTCTGAAAGTGCCAAAGGTTCAGGACAAATTCTGCCTCCTCGGTACTATGCTGATAGCAATCAGTCTGGCCTCTGCCAGTAACCAGAACAGCAGAAAAAGGCAAATCAAACTATTTTTACTTTAGGGTGCCTGCCAATATTACTTACTAGGTCACGGAAACAGTCTCCCACCATTACAAGATTAATCAAAATTAAATTATAATCTCAACTCTATAAAGCTTCCTGAACCCAAAAATTTCATCACTTGCACATCACATAGTATATAACCTTGCAAAAGAAATACAGACAAGCTTGATGATATGAACTTGAGATTTTTCTCACAATTACATTGACCTAATCTAAAACAGGACTGAATATTTTGATACAGTTCACCAACCCTAAAATAGAGAAACTTGACAAATAATGGTAAAAGTGAAAATTATGGGCATAGAGAATTTAAGTGACTACTGCTTATTCTACATGCTCTATACCTGAACATCAAAACCAAAAGATGTATAATAAAGATTAGTCCAATAATAGTAAATGAATGACTTGCCTCTTTCTCAGCAATAATTTCTGATAATTTCTTCTTTTTCTTTTTAACTTGGGCTGTGGTAGTGTCTATTGTGGCCTCTTTTCTCTCTTCTTCCTCATCATCCCAGTTGTCCTGAAAGCAGTTTAAAATAGCTGTAATCAAGGACTGTTACACAAATTTCTTTGTGCAGGCATATATCATGTACTATACTACAGAAGTTGGGCACAAAAAAAAAAAAAAATTCCTTAATTTAAACTATTATTGTATTTTTTTTTTACCAAATGGTTTACTTTAAGCAACAATATGTATTAAAAATTTGGTGCACTGCATAACACTCCAAATACACCTGAAATTAAGCATAATTTGAGGGAAGCACAAAAAGTTTAACCCATAAACGGTCCAAACGTATATATACGTTTTATTTGTCCTGGCCCTAAGCGAAACAAAGCTGAAGGGGGTAGGAGAGTTTCAGTGGGGGGAAAAAAATGGGATTAAATCTGGAGTATCTGAGAGAGTTAGAGCAAAGGAAGGGGGAGCGTAATGTTAAATGATCAGTTATGGAAGGAGAAAAGAGAATATGAATGTTGTAAATTCAAGAAAATTTTGTGGATTAAAATAAAGGTTGGATGCGAGAAGTGGGTCATAATAAGCGTGTATGCACCCGGAGAAGAGGGGGAATTTCAGAGGAGAGAGAGAGATTTTGGAGATGTTAAGTGAATGTATAGGAGCCTTTGAACCAAGTGAGAGAGTAAAATTTTGGTAGGGGACTTGAATGCTAAAGTAGGAGAAACTTTTAGAGAGGGTGTGGTAGGTAAGTTTGGGGTGCCAGGTGTAAATGATAATGGGAGCCCTTTGATTGAACTTTGTATAGAAAAAGGGGGTTTAGTTATAGGTAATACATATTTTAAGAAAAAGAGGATAAATAAGTATACACGATATGATGTAGGGCGAAATGACAGTAGTTTGTTGGATTATGTATTGGTAGATAAAAGACTGTTGAGTAGACTTCAGGATGTAAAATGTTTATAGAGGGGCCACAGATATATCAGATCACTTTCTAGTTTTTAGCTATACTGAGAGTAAAAGGTAGATGGGATACAAGGAGAATAGAAGATCAGGGAAAAAGAGAGGTGAAGGTTTTTAAACTAAAAGAGGAGGGAGTTAGGGTAAGATATAAAAAGGGTATTGGAGGATAGATGGGCTAATGAGAGCATAGGCAATGGGGTCGAAGAGGTATGGGGTAGGTTTAAAAATGTAGGTTAGAGTGTTCAGCAGAAGTTTGTGGTTACAGGAAAGTGGGTGCAGGAGGGAAGAGGAGCGATTGGTGGAATGATGATGTAAAGAGAGTATGTAAGGGAGAAAAAGTTAGCATATGAGAAGTTTTTACAAAGTAGAAGTGATGCAAGGAGGGAAGAGTATATGGAGAAAAAGAGAGAAGTTAAGAGAGTGGTGAAGCAATGTAAAAAGAGAGCAAATGAGAGAGTGGGTGAGATGTTATCAACAAATTTTGTTGAAAATAAGAAAAAGTTTTGGAGTGAGATTAACAAGTTAAGAAAGCCTAGAGAACAAATGGATTTGTCAGTTAAAAATAGGAGAGGAGAGTTATTAAATGGAGAGTTAGAGGTATTGGGAAGATGGAAGGAATATTTTGAGGAATTGTTAAATGTTGATGAAGATAGGGAAGCTGTGATTTCGTGTATAGGGCAAGGAGGAATAACATCTTGTAGGAGTGAGGAAGAGCCAGTTGTGAGTGTGGGGGAAGTTCGTGAGGCAGTAGGTAAATGAAAGGGGGTGGTAAGGCAGCCGGGATTGATGGGATAAAGATAGAAATGTTAAAAGCAGGTGGGGATATAGTTTTGGAGTGGTTGGTGCAATTATTTAATAAATGTATGGAAGAGGGTAAGGTACCTAGGGATTGGCAGAGAGGCATGCATAGTTCCTTTGTATAAAGGCAAAGGGTGATAAAGAGAGTGCAAAAAATTATAGGGGGATAAGTCTGTTGAGTGTACCTGGTAAAGTGTATGGTAGAGTTATAATTGAAAGAATTAAGAGTAAGCGGAGAATAGGATAGCAGATGAACAAGGAGGCTTTAGGAAAGGTAGGGGGTGTGTGGACCAGGTGTTTACAGTGAAACATATAAGTGAACAGTATTAGATAAGGCTAAAGAGGTCTTTGTGGCATTTTGGATTTGGAAAAGGCGTATGACAGGGTGGATAGGGGGGCAATGTGGCAGATGTTGCAAGTGTAGGTGTAGGAGGTAGGTTACTGAAAGCAGTGAAGAGTTTTTACGAGGATAGTGAGGCTCAAGTTAGAGTATGTAGGAAAGAGGGAAATTTTTTCCCAGTAAAGTAGGCCTTAGACAAGGATGTGTGATGTCACCGTGGTTGTTTATATATTTATAGATGGGGTTGTAAGAGAAGTAAATGCGAGGGTTTTGGCAAGAGGCGTGGAGTTAAAAGATAAAGAATCACACACAAAGTGGGAGTTGTCACAGCTGCTCTTTGCTGATGACACTGTGCTCTTGGGAGATTTTGAAGAGAAGTTGCAGAGATTGGTGGATGAATTTGGTAGGGTGTGCAAAAGAAGAAAATTAAAGGTGAATACAGGAAAGAGTAAGGTTATGAGGATAACAAAAAGATTAGGTGATGAAAGATTGAATATCAGATTGGAGGGAGAGAGTATGGAGGAGGTGAACGTATTCAGATATTTGGGAGTGGACGTGTCAGCGGATGGGTCTATGAAAGATGAGGTGAATCATAGAATGATGAGGGAAAAAGAGTGAGTGGGTGCACTTAGGAGTCTGTGGAAACAAAGAACTTTGTCCTTGGAGGCAAAGAGGGGAATGTATGAGAGTATAGTTTTACCAACGCTCTTATATGGGTGTGAAGCGTGGGTGATGAATGTTGCAGCGAGGAGAAGGCTGGAGGCAGTGGAGATGTCATGTCTGAGGGCAGTGTGTGGTGTGAATATAATGCAGAGAATTCGTGTTTGGAAGTTAGGAGGAGGTGCGGGATTACCAAAACTGTTGTCCAGAGGGCTGAGGAAGGGTTGTTGAGGTGGTTTCGGACATGTAGAGAGAATGGAGCGAAACAGAATGACTTCAAGAGTGTATCAGTCTGTAGTGGAAGGAGGCAGGGTAGGGGTCGTCCTAGGAAGGGTTGGAGGGAGGGGGTAAAGGAGGTTTTGTGTGCGAGGGGCTTGGACTTCCAGCAGGCATGCGTGAGCGTTTTTGATAGGAGTGAATGGAGAAAATGGTTTTTAATACTTGACGTGCTGTTGGAGTGTGAGCAAAGAAAACATTTATGAAGGGATTCAGGGAAACCGGCAGGCCGGACTTGAGTCCTGGAGATGGGAAGTTACAGTGCCTGCACTCGAAAGGAGGGGTGTTAATGTTGCAGTTTAAAAACTGTAGTGTAAAGCACCCTTCTGGCAAGACAGTGATGGAGTGAATGATGGTGAAAGTTTTTTTTTTTCGGGCCACCCTGCCTTGGTGGGAATCGGCCGGGTGTGATAATAAAAAAATAAAAAATAACATTCAACATTGCCATGATAAGCCTGAGCCGCCTAGACATGAGGAATGGGTGTGCGCACTCACTGTGCGCCATATTAAAAAAATTGGGGATGCCTGGGTACCACATTCCCCTTTTTTCCTAATTTAAAAAAATACGATTTTTTTTCTCAAAAAATTTGGGGCACTACGCGAGAGAAAGTATATACGTTTGGACGTTTACGGGTTAAATGACTAAGCATCCCTGTACTAAAAGACACGATGTCCAAATGTTTCTCTATACTGTACTACCAGGACTAAAAAAAAATCACAAATTCTAATAGTACTGCATTATGTATTTGGATTTTCCCCACAACTATTCAGTTAAAGGGAAAATTATGCATTTATCATGATCATAAATATTTTTAAAATGTTTAATTAATAAGAGAATATATACACAATGGACCCCCGGGTTTTCATTCCGGTCCGTTTATCGTACAATAAGTTTTCACCATTTTTGGCAAAACTTTCCCCCTTTCGATACGCTCAGAAATCGTCCAACCAGATGCAGACCTGCTGGCGGATGCAAACCCCTCATAGTTTGTGACTCAGTCTTACTTTGTTTCCAGTAGTGGGTGGTTGTGATGGTGGTAGAGATAAACTCTACTCCTCTGCCTCCTCGTCCGTCTTCCATACACCACAAGTCTTCAATAAAAGGTAAATGTAATTTAATGTTTCTATATCAATTTCATTAGTGCTTTTATATTAATTTCTCACTGTTTTCTGTATGTTAAAAACTATATTTATTCATCTATAAAATGTTATTTTTTATTTAATTATTTTTGGGTTGTTCTGGAACGGAATATTAGTTCGGACCCCCGGGTTTCACGTTCTTATTCCGTTCCTGAGAGCTCATCGTAAACCAAAATTTATCGGAAAAATGATTCTATTTTCTCCATAAGAAAATTAATTGGAAACATTTAATCCGTGCGAGACACCCTAAAGCTTATTGAAAAAAAACATCTTTACCACATGTATATTACGTTTAATGCAATATAATAATTACAATAAACACAATTTAAAATAGAATAATTCACAATAGAATATTGCACTTATCTTTATTGAGGATCTGGTGATGATTGACGGGATGGGAGGAGGGGAGTGTGTCGAAGTTTTTAATGTTTAGAAGGGGAAATCCCCTGAATTAGGACTTGAGGCAGAAGTCCTTTTCCGGGGTTACTTCCCTTTTTTTATAATGCACTAGGACCAGCTGAGAGTCACTGGATTCTGTCGCACAACATATCTGTCCATAGAGGCCTGTACCTCTTTCCCTTTATGACTTTCCTAAGTGGTTCACAAACTTTGACAGCTGTAAAGGTTGGCAACACGCTTGCAGTGTAGCTGTGTCAGGGTGATTTTCTTTTTCTCAAAAAGGTTTGACACTTCAAGCCACTTTGCACACATTTCCTTAATTTCAATAGGTCATTAGCACCTTGGTCTCGATGGGTTGGCACTAGAAGCTTTCTTGGGCCCAGGTTACTTATTTTGCAGAAACATGCACCAAAAAACAGTGATAATATGGATAATATTAGGAAAGTAAGGAATGTATCCTTAGATGCGCACAACTGGCTGGTTGTAAACACTG